TGCATGTGTGTATGAAGAGTTAAATCTTTTGAAACTCATCTTCAGATTAGGACAAACAACAAATTGTGAGGAACTTGAATTTGGAACTTTGAAGGAGCTAGAGAATAATAGTTGGTTTACTTTGTGAGTGGATCATAATTTCATTTTATTTAAATTATTTAAATCATTTATCATGTAAAATTACAAAATGTTTATTTTTTAAAATTTAATGTCTGAATGAAATATTAAAAACATTAGCTTGAAGGGTTTGATGCCTATTGTGAACATTATGATGTTTCAAGCCTTTAAAGTTGTTGACCTCACAAAGGAGGATAAATATTTTGGGCGTTTAAAACCAAGAATTCTTCTAATGTAGTTTTGAAGAAGTAAATCTTCATAGCAAGCAATATTTTTCTTTTGGTAACGGTATGGGATGGACAATTCCCAATAGCATAAACTACAAAAATTTCAGGAATTTGTTGATTGCCACTTTAAACCAAACTTTATTTGTGCAATGGTTTATTGGGATAAAGATTTTGGACATCAGAAGCATTTCTCATAATTGTTAAGAAAAATAGAAAATTTTTTAAAAAAAGCGTAACCAATCTCCGATCTTGTTCAATCATGGACCAATAATATACATGTAAATAGAAGTGGTAGATACATGACATACTCTTGTGGATATTGGGCTTGGATGTCATGTGGTCCAAAGCTTTGAACTTCATATGATTGAGGGAGGAAAAGTTAGAAAGGCAAGTAGTGGGGAGGGCCTCGGAGGGGTACACACGACTAATTACATCAATTAAAGCCCAAATTAAGATGGTATGTGAAGGAATTTGAGAATCGCTTGAGATTAGCAAGAGAGATTTGCATAAGGGTGCATTTTTTAGAGTTAGGGAATGCTCTAGTGATTACTAAATTAAGTTCAGATTTTGAGCTTAGTTAAATTGAGTTTGAATTTTGACATGTTTTGAAAGGGTTTGATAAATGAGCGAGTTATCCAATGTTGTAGGGTCCATCATGCACCAACAATAACGAGTGCATTTCTTAGTATGTATATATTGAATGTATAATCTATTTTATTTTGTTCTTTTTTTAATTTGTGGTCTTCTTTGAGAATTAATTCTTTGTTACCTTTTTGTTGTAAAATCTTTTTCATTGCAGGTTCATAACAAATACTATTTTACTATATATATATATATGATTCGATTGATACAAAAGAGTCTTTATTGGGAGATCTTGAAGAAATTTCAAAGCAAGAATTGATGTTACTTCCAATAATCAATTTCAAATGAATGACCTTATTCGCATTTCTCTGTAGTTTCTCTTTATCTTGTTTTTAAAAAAAATTTCTTTGAGAGGTAAGAAGGTGAAGATGAAAAACTCATGTAGTAATTTCTTCTAGTTGATCTTGATCTATAGGATTATAAACATAGAAGTAACTTGAATTTTGTAGATTCTAAAGACTAATAAGGATAATAAGGATATGGTTGATTTGAGGAAAGAGAAGGAAAGGGATGAATTTTTTGTCCAATCAAATGGTAACATTAAAATGACATAATTTGATTAGTTAAAAAGCATGATCTTCCCTCCAAGCTATTTTCCTGTATTTCCCTTAAACCAAACATACTTGAAAAGAGGTTTATCAATCACAGTCTCTTTAATTTCTTCTACTATGAAGATGTTTGTCTTTTAGCATAAAGACATTTTACAATTCTTTTATCTTGATTTCTTAATTTTGAAGTCAAAGTATCATTTATCACAAAGTTTGTGACTAAAAGGAATGCCAAAATTTTCTAGTAGTAAGGACTACGCAATTAGTTCACTGCTAATAAAGACAAGTCTAGAAAAGAAATTCTAATGCTAGAAATAAGTGGCTAGCTAATTTAAAAAATATAGTTGGATTGGACTCTCAAATTCTTTCCTCTTTAACCAAACATACTCTAAAATGAGTTTATCTATCGCGGTGTTTTTAAGTTCTTCCATTAAGAAGATCTTTGTCTTCTAGCAAAAAGACACTTTAGTATTCTCTTATCTTTAATTCTTAATTTTCCACTTCAAGTGTCATTCATCACAAAGTCTGTGACTGAAAGGAATGCCAAATTTTTCTAGCAGTAAGGATTACATAGTTAGTTGATTG